CCGCCTTCCCTGCGGCGCCGCCCGTGCCCGCCGGCTGCAGCGCCGCATGTGCTGGCATTTCGTGCCCTCCAGCGGTGCCAGTGGTGCCCGCGGTGCTGGGAGGAGGGAGCCCGCCTGGGCTGCGGGCAGAGCGGAGGGAGCTCCCACAGCTGCACACCGGCGTGGTGCCACACTGGGTGGCAACGTCCACCTTGTCTACTTCTGTAACAGAGCACTCAGTCTGTGACCAAACATCACACCTGGTGCTGCGAGCGACATGCTCTCTTTTAAGGGCTTGGTGTAATGAGCTGCCCTCAGATGGGGCGGTGTGGTTCTTATTTTCCTCCTCTGTGGCGGTCTGGTTCTTATTTTCCTCCTCTGTGGCACATACAATAGAGTCTTTCTCCTGAAGATGATTTGCTGCTTCTCCAGTCAAAATACTGCTGGGCTGGAGAGGCACGGTTCTGGTGTGAGAGGTCTTGGGGGGCTCTGTACTTGCTGAGGCTGAGATTAGGTTGGCATCGCCGATCTTCAAGGACCGTTCATTCAGATATTCCTTCTTTTTGGCTGTGTCTTCCTCTTCAGACTGTTGGAACAGAACTGTGTAAATGCAACTGTTTAAATAGTTCAATGACTATGATGAAGTTAATGAAACAAACAGAAAGGCCAGAACTGTCTGGGTTTGGTTGTTCAGGGTTTTTTTTTCAGTCTTTCTGCAGAGGTGTACTCCTGGCCTTTGTTGAAAAGAAGGTGGGTAAGGTGGACCTTCACTCCCTCACAGAATTTATATTGTGGCATTTTTGTGTTCAAGAATGGCTGAAAACACACAGTGTGCCAAATCCTCCTGCCTTACAGGCACATAATGTAAGGCAGCTATACATCAAGGAAGAGAGCAGAAGCTTGCTTAGCATCTTCCCACAGTTATGTTATTGTAATTCCACAAGGCCTGGTATTCGCAAGAGACCAAACCACATGTTTGTTAAACTACTTAGGAAAATTAACAGCTAATCATTTCTTGTCTTCCTCACACGTGAGGTTGCCTTGTACAAAACAAAACCATATGCAAGATTCCAGCTACATCCACCCGCAGATGCACTCAGGCATACAGCTATCATTCAGATGAACCCCTGCAAACCCATGAAGGGGCAGTACTCACCGTGTCAGGACTAGAGCTGAAAGAGCTCTCTGCCTGCCTTGGAGAGTAACTGGGAGACTGGCTGCTGAGTGATGACTCTGCATCTGAAAAATGAGATGAAAAGGAAAGAAAGGTTACTCACCAAAAATTCCCCAAACATCCAGCTCTCAAGTACAGAATGTAGAATTAAACATTACTACTTCTGGTGCAGTTTTCAAGATACTGTTTAATGAATAAAGTGTTAGCCAGGTCAGTCTAGGTCTTCACAATAGCCAGTCCTTTTCCTCTCAGGACAACACATCTTAACACAAAGCATGAGATGGGTTCCCCAAAGCTTCAGCTGTGCACTGGCAGCAGAACTGTGCTACCCAAAAGCAAGGTGAGGTTGGACGGGGCTCTGAGCAACCTGCTCTAGTTAAAGATGTCCTTGCTCATCCCAGGGTGGGTGGACTAGATGACCTTTAAAGGTCCCTTCCAACCCAAACTATTCTATGATTCTATGACTCTGTGAAAACAAGGAAGGACTCTGCAGAGCAAGGGCAGGTAGAGAATGCAGCAAACTGCCTGGACATGTTGGCTGCCATACAAGTTACATGGGCTTATGGCCATGTTTTTCTCTTGGATGCCCTTGGGAGATGATCTGCTCTGAAATGCAGCAGCTGACTCCCCTCACTCTGTCCACATGTGGAACGACAGCATATAGTCTAGTGGAAGAGAATAAAGACTAGTAAAGACTAGACCAGTAAAATGGCACATGTCAAACATCTAATGAAGATATTAATTAATAGAGAAAATATGTCCAAGATTTTTTCCAACCAACAGAGGTCTGCAGGAATAGAAAGAAAGAAAGTGACTGGCATTTACTTGGCATTTTACTGTGTGGTGATGTTGGTAAACTTGAGTTGTGGTTATCAGATTAATACTCCTGACCTCTCTCATGGTTTTATTTTTTTTTAAGCAGTTACTCCTATTTTCAGAGCTGGCTTTTCAGTTCAGGGGACAACTTTGGAGGAAATGGGACAATGAAAAGTATGTGTGTAATACTCACCAGAGAGAAGTTAACCTGTATTTATCTCTTCAAGGAAAAGCAAATACAGATAGTTCTTAGTTACCTGGTAATGCTAGCTTTCTTTATACAGTGCTGTGTGAATCAAAAATACAAGCCCTCATCAAATGCAACATCCTAAAAAGATCAAAACACTTCTCCCTGGCTTTAAAAGTAACTGTTTCAGTTTCACATGTAGAGAAAAATCTGATTTTTGACTTAATAATGTATAAATGGTACTAACCTTTCTCCATCTTGTGAAGATTTGAACTCACTCCAAACTTACACTTTTCTTCTTGTGCTGTTGTGAACTTTTAAAAATAAATAAGTGTTAATAGTGAGGGTTGAGCTGAATCAGCACCTCAGGTTAAGTGAGGAACATTCAGTTTCTGTGTTACATAAAGGAGTCACTGCACTGTACCACAAATTATTTCAAGAGGTACAAAACCTCTGAGCAATACTGAACTTCTTGGTGACTTCTATGGGCAAAATATCTACAAGATTCTTGGTATGTATACTAGCATAAAGTTCCTTTATAATACTGAAGTGTCCTGCATATTATGTCTGGGCACTGCCTGCCGAATCTAATCCTAAGGGTTAATGGCTAACTTATGCAATGTATGTCAGGCATCAGCTTAGGCATGAATGGAACCATGTAAATTATGGACCTGAAAGGTCTGTCTATCTGAACCATTTACCTAGAAGCTGTTCTTTCTGTCTGCCCTATATAAACCATGAAGGAAAAGAAGCTTCCACAGCAGTTAATTCAGAGAAGCTAAATTCAGTTTCTAACTGTTGGGGACATTCCTTCTCCACCTCAAATGAACGGTGCAAACAGTAGGTTTGACAAAAATATGTCTCTTTAAAAGTTACCTCTTCAAATCCAAAGAGCTGGTTCTGTCTCCAGGCTGATTCTTTCACAGACTCGTCGTCACTGAGGGATACAAACACAGAATTCTTTGGTAACTGATTCCCCCTCCTGCACTTTTATTTTCTTTCTGAATTAGTCATTACTGGTGACTCTTTCTCTTCAGTAACCATGAAATGGTTCCCGCTATTGAGATAATTGAACTTACTTCTTAACCTGAGATTTAACAAACTTCTCCTCCGTTGAAATGCAAAATGTAATATGAGAGATGACAGAAGATAGTGCTGCTTTGTAAAACAAGGTTTTATGGCTCAGAGCCTGTGATAAAACTGTCTTTTGTAAAACATGGGGCACTCACATATGCTAACTTTAGCCCAGGGAAGACACTAACTTCCTCTGTAGTCAGTGGAAGGAGACAGGGTCTTTTAGAGGGCAAGTCAGAGCACCAGCTTAACTTCAGGGACTCAAAATTGTCCCATGAAGCAGTCTTTGTCTATACTTATTATAGGTAGATGAACAATGGTACAAAGGGCTTACATGCGCATGTTTCTTCACATTATTCACTACTGTTTTCACTGGGAAAACTTGCGTCCTCAGTAATACTGTTCAGAATTTTGCTTTCATGTCCTCTTAGCAGGATTTCTCCAATCCAGCAAGGTCTCTGCAGTTATCCCTAGTTAATAGATTGATAATTTCTATGGCACTCACCTTTTTTTTCTCCAATACTTCTGTACATTCTCCTTTAAGTTAATCTGCTGATCATGGTGATTAGCAAATGTCTCTAAAATAAAAAAGTAAACCTTGATTTTAAAACACAATAGCCTAAACGCAATTTGAAAATAAATGTTTCTGTCAGCTTTCAAAAATAATTTAATTAACTGGATTTAAAATTAAATTACTGCATTCTGAAGATTCATGACATGTTTTCAGTCAGGGCAGACTCTGGTTATAAAAACATGTATCTTTAAAAGGAGAATAAAAACTAGAATCTATGTCCTTAAAATATTGACACTCACTAATTTTTTCACGGTTTGCAGGTTTTTCTTTCTTTTCAGAATGTATGAAGTAGTGGTGTCCCTCATGACAGTCCTGCAGGTGGGTTTTATGAAGTCCACTGGTTTTCCTGTAGTTTGCACTTGAGGCATTGTTACTTTTAAGTAAAACCTGTTCTGGATCTGTGAAAATGCCTTCAAGGTGTCTGTCTACAGAACTTTTTTTTTTTTGTGAAAATGCCTTCAAGGTGTCTGTCTACAGAACTTTTTTTTGCACTGCTTGCAGGATAAGCCTCTGTAGTATTGTAAGGATAGTTTCTGCTGGTCATTTGATTTCTATCATCAGGATCCATGAAAAAAATGGCACTATTGCTTTGATTAACAAAAGGATTAAAATGCTTTGTGGAAGGATTATTATGGATTGGTTGGCTCTCATCTTCGAACAGTGCCAGAAAGGAACAGTCACTTCCATCCTGGGGAGCTTTCAGCTCTGCAGTTTCTTTCACAACATCAAAGAATGGTTCTTTTATTCCTTCACTGTTTTCTGATCCATTACTGGTCATTACCACTGGATTTTTCCTGGCAGAATTCATATAGTCTAGCCTGGGGGTGGAGGGTGGGGTGGAGAGGGGTAGAAAACACAGTTTGCTCAGTAAGTAAATAAGCAAAATACTAACTTCTAACAACAAATTATGATAACTTGATGATAAAAATCTGAACGACTTTACTCATCACACTTGCTTTTGTCCCAAATGTACATTATTTCAACTGAAAAAGTGTCCTGTATTTTATTTCCGCTTCCTAGTAAGGTTAATTTAAAAGGGGTTCCGTTTCATGACGTCTCCAAACATACCAAGACATGGAGCACATTCTCCTGAGTAGGGAACTGTGATTTATAAAATCAGCCACAGTATGTCACTGCTGCTCCACCAGCTGACCAAAGAAGTCCACTTTGGGGAGGAAAAAAAAAAAAAAAAGGAAAAAAAAGAGGAGGAAGACAGCTTCTTCTCTTCATAAAAATTATTTGTTCTTCAAGACTACAGTTCTTTCCTGTACTGAAAGCCCATAATAAGCTCTGTGTACTGCTTAATTCCTGGTCTTTTTAGCAAGTGGCTTCCATTTGTACTTGAGGTCAGTAATCCTAACTCAGCACAGAATTTTTCTATCCCACTGTCAGGAGGCCAGTCAGACATTTTGTTTTGCCCATACTTCCCTACCCCACTTCTGATAGTAGTGGTTTTGAAGATGCTATCATGCTAGCATTATTAGCATGAAAGCTATCATGCTTTCACTTACTTGGCTCTTAATCTAACATTTTCATGCTTTTTTTCTAGGCTTGATCTGTTGACTGACCTTTCAGAAAATCTGAGCAAAAAGTTGAGAGGCTTCTGAAGCACAGAGAATTTGCAAAGGAGCCCATTCAAAAAATGCCCTTTCTTTAAAAAATTTTGAGCAACGGAACTTGAAAACTGAAATGTAGTACAGAAAACACTTACTGGAGAAAAATTCTGTAATGTTTTGATCAGCAAATACTTGGAACTGGATAAAGATTCTAGAGAACTTAAATGAGAAAGTAGTGTCCTGTACTTACAGAGGTCTACTTACAGAACCCCCCCAGGACAGTTTTAAAAGGCTAAACACACTAGAGTTTGTTTCTGCAGAAACTTGGATAGCTCTACGTGAAGAAGGTAAAAACATTTTGTGAAGCAGTTCAGAGGCTCCTTCTTCAGTCCGGCTGAACATTCTGTAATGCTAAGTAAAAGTTAATAGTAGATGAGGAAATGTCTAAGAAGTATTCAGAGTGAAAGACATCTAAACTTTTTAGTTAATATTTAATGATCTTGAGGTGCCACAGCTCTCAGATGTATACACATTGATTACACCATCAGTATGTTACAATTACATTAAATGATCGTATAAGTTTATACTCTTTTCACATATAGTGAAAGAAACTCCCTTCCCAGGAGAACTGCCAGCTCTTGAGGTATAAGAATTTATGGCTATAATGGATGAAAACAAAACAAGGATGATACAAAGAAACAGATTTGAAGAACAGTTGGAAAGGAGATGTTGTTAGTGAGCCATGAAGAAGCAGAGGACTAAGGGAGGTGCCATAAGCAGACGAGTGCAGGCCTGAGGGCCTGTGGAGAAATGAAAGAGGAGATGTAGGTGAGATAAGGTTAGGTGGAGCTTTAATGTAAAGATATTCATCAGGAATACACCAAGATATACAGCAAGGTGAGTGTTATCTTCATCTTAGGTTTTGCTGGTGAAAGCCAGGAGAATCTAGGAGAAGAGAGAAAGAGAAAGTTAAGGTGGCTAGGACTGGAAGCCGGTGTGTTCATCTCGTTATCATGTGGACAGGGAGTTTATCAGTCACCTGACTCACAGGCAAACAGGCTGTAGGTACTTCAGGAAGAATTGGCCTTTTTATGGCTCTATCCAGCCAGAGCTAGAGACTGATAGGAACTTTCAGCCAGACATCAGACTTACAGAATAAAGAGTAAAGGAAGATCAGGCCTGTAAGATCCCTAGATCCAAGGCAAGAGCTCTGGAAAGAAACTGAAATAAAATGCTCAGTATAAGTGAGTCTGGCCCTAAATCCTCTGATTAAAAAGATTTTTAATCAGCACATAAAAAAGAAATATATTCTAGATTTCTATCCGTTCCTTTTTTTAAAAAAAGTGTATATTCTCATAAAAGCATTATTGAACCAATTCTAAAAAAACCTGCTATAGTAGGATTGCATATGAAAGAGAACGAAAAAAATGTTTTGTTCCTGGAATCCCAAATGTAAACAATGTAGGTGGAGCAGTTGCTCAATTGCTACAGCATCAAGGTCATCAGAAAAGCACTTGCAACAGTGACCAGAACTCATGAGAGCTGGGGCAGCTACCCTCACTGTCACCTCTTAGTAAATCTCTGCTTCTCACTCGGGGTGAATTCAGTAACACCATCATGTGTGTGAAGTTGCAAAACATAGATCATGGTTCAAAGTGCCTACCTAAAATTCACATTTTGCTGCCTTTAAGCAAATTTAAATAGCTCAGTATGTTCAGTCTTTGCATTTAATTTCCATTTCTATTTGAAAAGCACCTTGCACGGGCTGAGGCCAACTGTATGAGGTTAAACAATTTCTTCATGGAAAGGGTAGTCAAGCATTGGAACAGGCTGCCCAGAGAGGTGGTGGAGTCACCATCCCTGGAAGTGTTCAAAAAATGGGTAGACGTGGCACTTTGGGACATGGTTTAGTGGGCATGGTGGTGTTGGGTTGATGGTTGGACTGATGATCTTAGAGGTCCTTTCCAACCTTAATGATTCCTAGTTTTTACTTTCATTAAAAATAATCCAGCCACCAAGCCAGGAAACACAAAATTAATTATTACTCTACCCTTAATTGGTTTAGTGGTGGACTTGGTAGTGTTAGGTTAATGGTTGGACTGGATGATCTTAAAGGTCTTTTCCAACCTAAACGATTCTATGATTCTATGAAAAATCAATGAAAAATCAAGTAGCAATAAGTTTCAGATTATCTTAGTATTTTTCTTTCTTAAACTTGACTGTTATTTCTCTCTAATGTAAAATCACTGCCTACCTATGTAGTGGCTTAAACAGTTCCTGAGGCACTGTATCAGACTTCCTGAAAATACACTGGCTTGGAGGTTTTGTAATCCAAGGGTCTTGATCAGAACTATTTCCTGGCTGAGAAAACAGTAGAAGCTGTCAAACTCTGAATATATATAATAGTTATAGTGTTTAAAACTTTAAAGTTGGGTTTGCAAACCCAAATATAAATGTTTTACCACTGTTTTCACTTCTATCTCTACAGTAGAAGCCAAAACTTCCTCACAGCCCAAGTTCTGTATAACTCATACTTTTCCATATTTGTGTATCACTGTTAATATGCAAAATGTCCTTTTAGCACCCCACATGAACAAGCTTGATAGACTGTAACAGGCTGAAGTTCCACTGAAGATCACATAATCATAGAAAGCTGTTGTCTGGAACGGATCTCAAGAGGTATCTAGTCCAACCTGCTAAAAGCAGGGCCAGCTTCAAGGTTAGGCCAGATTGTTCAGGATTGTTGAGGACTGAGATTCCACAACCTGTTTGGATAGCCTCTTCTGGTGCTTAGCTACTTTTGTGACAATATTTTTTCCCATACACAGAATTTCCATTGTTGAAACTTGTGACTTTTACTTCTTGCCATTTCACTCTCTAACTCTGGCTCTGTCCTGTGTGTAACTCTGTTTAGACTGTGGAAAACAGCAGTTATTTTGCCCCGCACCCCCATAGCCTTCTCTTTCCCAGGCTATGAAAGGTCTCTTTGCTCAGTCTCTCCACATTCATCATGTGCTCTAATCCCCTAACAATTTTTGTGGCCCTTCATTGGTCTTGCTACAGTTTGTTGATCTGGTGTTCCCCAGGGCTCCGTTTTGGGGCCAGTCTCGTTTAATATCTTTATGAACGATCTGGATGAGGGGATTGAGTGCACCTTCAGTAAGTTTGCAGAAGACACCAAATTGGGTGGGAGTGTCGATCTGCTCGAGGGTAGGATGGCCCTGCAGAGGGATCTGGACAGGCTGGATCGATGGGCCGAGGCCAGCTGTATGAGGTTCAACAAGGCCAAGTGCCGGGTCCTGCACTTGGGTAACAACAACCCCATGCAACACTACAGGCTTGGGGAAGAGTGGCTGGAAAGCTGCCTGGTGGAAAAGGACCTGGGGGTGTTCGTTGACAGCTGGCTGAATAAGAGGCAGCAGTGTGCCCAGGTGGCCAAGAAAGTTGATAGCGTCCTGACTTGTATCAGGAATAACGTGGCCAGCAGGAGCAGGGAAGTGATTGTCCCCCTGTACTCGGCGCTGGTGAGGTTGCACCTTGAATATTGTGTCCAGTTTTGGGCCCCTCACCACAAGAAAGACATTGAGGTGCTGCAGCGTGTCCAGAGAAGGGCAATGAAGCTGGTGAAGGGTCTAGAGCACAAGTGTTACGAGGAGCGGCTGAGGGAACTGGGGTTGTTTAGTCTGGAGAAGAGAAGGCTGAGGGGAGACCTTATCGCTCTCTACAACTACCTGAAAGGAGGCTGTAGTGAGGTGGGTATCTATCTATCCCAAGTAGTTAGTGATAGGACAAGAGGAAATGGTCTCAAGCTGCGCCAGGGGAGGTGTAGTTTGGC